TCACTATGCCCTCATTTGGAAGACGAGTTTGATAGAGTGTAGATTGTGATTGTTTCTCTTTTTCTTCCTTCAGCCGTGGCCCAGCAGAAGCAGATGACCTCGCAAAGAGAGTTGGATTCCGCTATGAAGGCACTTACAAATGGGTCAACCCTCACAAACTGTGAGTTGTGATAAGATGAGGGAGGAGTAGAGATAGGGCAGTAGGAAGGGTGCAGCAGGGTGAGTGAGCCATGTCGTGTTCCAACGCAGGAGTGTCTTTTGTGGAAGGAGGCGTTTCCACTATGTGGATCCATCACAGTAGCAGAAACAGGCTATTATTTCTCAGGTATGGCAATAATTTGTTTGAGCCAGTTCATCAGACATTCAAGACACAAGAGAATAATACCAGATTCACTGGTAGTTTTTTTTTTTTTTTTTTTTTTTAATTCATTCACAGAAATCTTCTATTTTGAGAGGTGGGACCAAGTCAGTTGGAGCGGGAACAAAAAAATCTGAACCAAGACATTATTGCGAACAAAATAACTGTCTGATGAACTGGCTCCATGTCCCTGTCTCTATTAATTAGGTCTTAATTTGTCAGGATGGTAAATGGAATAACTGAGTACCGAGAGCGGAGCAACAACGAAACACTCAGCTGAGTCATGCTCACTCAGTGTAAGCACTGTACCAAAGATGGTAACGGAACAACAGGAATGATTGTTCACCAGCTGTCGCTCTTAATAATTGTGATTGTAATACCATTATGCTTTGACTGCAGCTATTAATCACTCTAAGTGGAACTTCCTCTTACAACCTGCGCGCGCTCTTTTGGCCTCCTCTGTAAGATACGTAGACCCTGTGGTTTACAAAGGGCAATGCGGGCAGTTTCTCTTCGAAGCATTCGTACTGGAATAGTCTTAAGTGTTCTTACGGACAAAGAAAACAAGCTCTCTGTCTTGTTTTAGTAGCCTCCCTCTGAGCTTTATTCCCTCTTTGTTTACATTTTTTTTCCAGGTTTATTTAAGTTACTCATGTTCATTCCGTATTTCAAAGTATACGGACAGCAGCGGTGTCTACCACAGGTCAACAGTGAATGTCTTTGTAATGACGTGCTGAATACTGCTGTTACTGCACACTCACATGTAATGCTAGCTACATTTCCACTACTTGTAATAAACTAGTTTTGCTTCTCTGTAAATGTGTTTCATGCTGTGTGTTTTTTTATTGCTTCAAGCACTGAAGTCACTATGTTATGATAGACAGTGTGTACGTGGGATCTTAAAGTATTAAAAAGTCTTAAATGGACAGACATGTTCCTGTTTGTTATTTTTATGTATATATATATATATATATATATATATATATAACTCAATCATTGTGGAGCAAGGTGCACACACACAAGCCTCGTTTCCTCTCCCACAGGTAGCTATGAATGGATGTACAAACCCCTTAAACAACTATTTGCACATTAACAGTTGAGCCTGCTCCACCACTCATCAGACCTGTTAATGACAACAACAGCACAGAAGTGCAATTTGTGGGGAGGTTCTCCAACAGCACCAGAACCTCAGTCATTATAGGACAGCGGCAGCTATTTATAGTACCAGTACCACCAATTAATCATAATAATGAAGAAAAGTTTACCTTGACTTTTTTATGACATACATTTTTATGAAATTGTTAGAAAGTCTTTTATGACATTATGTGGTATGACGTCTTATGATACTGCAACTTTTTTTTTTTTTTTTTTTTAAATTGAGGCATACTATACTACGACTTTTTATGAATTTACTATACTATACTATGGCATGTTTAATTTTTTTTTTTTTATCGGCATACTACACAACATTTTTAAATGATATTTTACAACATAATATACTATGACTTTACTATTCTGTGACACTGATTTTTTTTTTTACAACATACTATACTATGACATGATTTTGATGTTTTTTGTCAACATATTACCTTACGACGTTTTTATGACATTTTTTATGATGTTTTAACTACATACTATACTATGACATCTTTTTATAAATTTTTTTACAACATACTGTAGTATGACTTTTTTGAATAATTTTTGATGACATATACTATGGCTTTTTCAGTGATTTTGGACAACAATCTATACTATGACATTTTTTTATGATTTTTGACTACATACTTTTCTATGATTTTTTTTAAATTATTTTTGACGACATACTATACTATGACTTTTTTTCATGATTGCTGATGACATATTATACCTATAGTATGTTATTAAAAATCATTAAAAAAGTCAGTATAGTATGTTGTCAAAAACCATGAAGAAGAGTCATAGTATGTCGTTAAAAATCATGAAAAAATAAGTCATAGGATAGTATGTCAAAAATCATGAAAAAAAATCATAGTATAGTATGTCATGAAAAATCATGAAAAAAGTCATAATATAGTATGTTGTCAAAAACCATGAAAAAAGTCATAGTAGAGTGTGTCATCAAAAATCATGAAAAAAAAGTCATAGTTTAGTATGTTGTCAAAAATCATGAAAAAAAGTCATAGTATAGTATGTCGTCAAAAATCATGAAAAAAGTCATAGTCTGGTATGTTGTCAAAAATCATGAAAAAAAGTCAGTATAGTATGTCGTCAAAAATCATGAAAAAAATCATAGTATAGTATGTCATGAAAAATCATGAAAAAAGTCATAATATAGTATGTTGTCAAAAACCATGAAAAAAGTCATAGTATAGTGTGTCATCAAAAATCATGAAAAAAAAGTCATAGTTTAGTATGTTGTCAAAAATCATGAAAAAAAGTCATAGTATAGTATGTCGTCAAAAATCATGAAAAAAGTCATAGTCTGGTATGTTGTCAAAAATCATGAAAAAAAGTCAGTATAGTATGTCGTCAAAAATCATGAAAAAAATCATAGTATAGTATGTCATGAAAAATCATGAAAAAAGTCATAATATAGTATGTTGTCAAAAACCATGAAAAAAGTCATAGTATAGTGTGTCATCAAAAATCATGAAAAAAAAGT